GCCTGGCAGCCCTTGCGAAACTTCTCACACTGTTACGGCACCCACGGCACTGTCGGAGGCCAGGGGGTTCCTGGAGTTTTTTGTACGACCCTCAAAAACATCTTTGGAGTATGTCTTTGGAGTCTTTACACACATCTCTCAAAAACTCTCCACCCCAAACCTCCCCCAAAGCATTCCCAAACGAGGCATTGAGTGTCTGTCTGGCACCAGTCCTCTGAGCCTGATGCTCTCCTCTGGTGGCCAAGTGGGCCCCTGTGGCCTGTGGGTGGCTCAGGGCTGCAGGGCGCAGGCCTGGGGGTGCCATGAGATGGGGCACATGGAGTCCTCGATTGCATTTGCCACTCGGTGCTGGCACAGTCCTCGAGTTTCATTCCTCCAAGAAGTCCACTGAGCACCACTGTGAGCAGTGAAGGGTGACATGGATGACCCTGAGGACACTGCTCAGTCAAACAAGCCGGACACAAAAGGACAAAATCTGTGTGACCCCATGTCTGTGAGGTCCCTGGAGAAGTCAGATTCCCCAGACAGAAAGCAGGGTGGTGGGAGCTGGGGTGGGGGACGAGGAATTAGTGCTCAGCGGGGGTTTCCAGGTTGGGAAGGTGGATGGTGAAGTGGGCCGCACATGGGTGTGGATATGCTCAGGCCCCAGATGTGCACTTATACACAGTTAGGACGGTGCCCTTATGTGATGTGCATGTTACCAGTGTTAGAACTGAAATGAACACTGAGGGACCGGTAGGTCCCAGTTCATCCAAGGAAATGTCCTTACAGGATCCACTTTTATCCTGTGAGAAGTCCCTTTCCTAGACAGGAGGGCCTGCTGTGTAATAATAAAATATAATGGCTTTATTTTAATCATTATTATTTTACTCAGTGAAAACAAGCATTTCCAAATGCACAAGCACAGCTGTCCTGCCTTCCCCATCTGGGAGGGCCTGATGCTAATGAGGCCCCACCTGCTCTCTCCTGTCTTCACTCTGGCCCGCCAGCTGTAGGCCCTGCGAGAATTCTCCAGGCGGCTGGGTCAGCCTCTGAGGAGCGAGGTCTAGGCACTCACTTAGCTCAGGGCTCTGTGCTTTGAACCTTACAAGCAGAGCATTGTCCAGAGCCAGAAAGGCACAACTGAGTTTTTAGACGGTGCTTACAGAAGGAAAAAAGACAATGCCTCCCCACCTCTATCCAATGATTTCAGAGCACTTCTAGACACTGATGCATGGCCAGGCGTGAGACAGAACTCTCACACCCTGCAGAAACCAAAGTGCAAGAACACTGTGTGCCCCCCCCCCCATATCCCAAAACAACTGCAGGAGGCAGAACTGTACCAGTTTCAAGGTTGTCCTTTAAATTCTACCAGCTGGACCTGAGTGTGAAGTTTTCGATGCACAAAAATCTACTAGTGTGCTGCTGCATTCCCACCCAAAGAAGAAGGTAACTATAAATAAGGAACGCCAGCTCACCAGCTGGTTCATAGTCCCCTTTGCTGCAGGCACCTCAGGCTGGGCACCGGCCTGAGCACTGCCCACCCAGCTGAGGGCTCTTCTATCCAACGCCCAGTGTGGTTCTGACTCCAGCCTGGGCTTGTGTGAGTGAGCCAGTCCCCGGCATGCAGGTTCAGGCCCTGGTTCAGGTTCACCTCCACCCATAGAACTAGGCCAAGAAGGGCTTCCCAAGCCCACTTCTCAAACCTCTGTGCATCGTTACAGTCCTGCCCGCTGCCAGATCCTGCCAGCACCCACAGGCCTGACTGAAGATGTGAAGAACAGAAGGAAGCGAGGCTGTATCCATTCATCACTGCCAACATTAGCCAGCAGACTGTCAGACAAGCATGATGTTACCATCACGGAGAACAAGGGCTCTCGAGATGGTGCCCAGAATGGCCACGCTGAATTATCCAGGCCTCTGACCATGTATTGTGTCCCCTCCAGCTTCCTTCTTGGTGATGCATGAAGAATTCCCAAGGAGGAAAATCTCCCACGTTCTCCAATTAGTCTCTGCAGGTCTGAACTGGGGGAGACCTTGCCCCCATCATCAGGTCTTGGCAGAATAAGAGAATGTTTATAAAATTTCAGAATGTTAATAAACCAACAGTACCCCAGGAAATGCTGACCTGCATCCTCAGAGGTCACATGACTGTCTCCATGAATGCAATGTCTTCAGTCCTAGTTTATAAAATGCCAACATAATGGGCCAGGGATTTAGCTCAGTGGTTCTGGCGCCTGCCTCACAAGTGCAAGGTCCTGAGTTCGATCCCCGGTACCAAAAAAAAAAACCCCCAAAATGCCAACATATTAATTAACAGACTGATAATGTAAGTCAGAATCCTGTATGCTAAATGCCACCAATCCAACTCACATTAGATTAAGCAAGTGGATACTTACCAGTCCCCACACCTGAAAAGTGTAGATGAATCTAGCTTCAGGAGCTCAAATTAACTGGAGGTCTATGCTCCTCCATCCCCTGGCCTCCTTTCTTTCCTGCTGGTCTGAGTCTCGGCATGGCACTTCTAGGTGGGGCACAGCTGGCCACAAGCTGTCTGGGCCAGAGCCGGATAGGGTGGGAGATGCAGCGTGAAGGTAGGGTGGAGGCTCCTCCTGGCACAGGCCCCTGCTGGCTGTCAGCGGGCCCAGCCCCGTGGCTCAGCTGGGGACTCAGTGGCAGCCTGCCAGAGGGCTTCTAGGCACCATACAATGCAGTGCTCAGATCCAGGCTGCTGACTTTGGTACAGGAGGTGACACAGGCTCGAGGACAGAGGCAAGTAGAGTTAAACATTTCTGTTCTGAGATTGTTTGGTGAAATTATCTAATTCACTGTTTTTAAAATTGTTTTTTCTTGGTAGGGAAACAACAGTCAGATTTCTGTACAAGCTACTATACTGTGGGCCAGAAACATGGCAGAGAATCAGAGGAAGTGAAATCTTCCCTCTGGCAGAGGGGGGTGGCCCCTCTCCCCAAGCCCACCTCCCATAGCCCAGAGACCTTCTCTGCCATCACACCTCTGGGCCCAGGTGGTAGCCCAGCAAAGGAACCGGGTGCGCAAGTGAATGTGGCTGGCATCTGCTCCAACAACCACCAAAGGCAGGCAGTGATTTTCAGTACGGTGGAGTCGAAGTCCAGGGTCACCCAGCAGCCACAGACCACACAGCTTCCATCCCACCTGGAAACTGGGGACAGGCAGGAACACTGCACCACAGAGATGCAGTTGATGCCCCAACAGAGCACTACCAATACTCCAGGGACTGGGCAGCACTGACCAAATGCTACGAATGAAAAGACAAGGCCAGTGTGCTGCCAACAGCAAGAACCCCTGCCACGACGCCACCCAGTGTGGTACAAGGTCAGCCCGAAGAGGGCTGTGGCTCCGGGCTTACGGGGCCTTCTGAGGCTCCTTCGAAGGCTACACCCCCCCACTCCCATGCACACACCTGAGCATTCAAGGGCAGCCGCGTCCTGCGGGCAAATGGTACTGGAGCTGCACCAGTCTGCAAGACATGGGACCTGAGCTGCGTTCACAATGGACCTGTGGAAATGGCACCTGGTGACACCTCCTGTGACCCCACCTCTGCTGGCTGTGATGGGGACGGCTGCAGCTAAGGGATGGCTGGATGGGGCGCTGGCCCCCTCTGTGGCTCTGATCCAACCTGGTCACAACCCAACCTGATCTCAGAAAGCCCTGAAGATCCGGCGGCTACACCTTCCAGACGCATCTCCTATGTGAGGGCTTTCACTTTCACAGGATTTGCCTGGCACCCTTTTAAAAATACAGGTAAGGACCACTGTGGAAGTCAGTGTGGAGATACCTCAAAGAACTAGGACTGGAAGTCCCATTTGACCCCGCTATTCCCCTGCTGGGGATCTTCCCCAAAGAATTAAAAGACTCATACCACAGTGATATATGTGCACCCATGTTTATAGCAGCACAGTTTGTAATAGCTAACACTTGGAAGCAGCCCAAATGCCCATCAACTGGAGACTGGATAAAGAAGATGTGGGTTTTTTTTTTTTTAAATAAAATGGAGTACTACTCAGCCATAAAGAATGAGAAACTAGAGACATTTATAGCTAACTGGATGCACATTGAGGCCATCCTCTTAAGTGAAATAAATAGGACACACAGGTGTAAATACCGAATAGTTTCTCTGGTGTGAAAAACTGAAAACGTAAATAAGAATAAAAATGTATAACTGGGCCGGGGATTTAGCTCAGTGGTGGCACCTGCCTTGCAAGGGCAAGGTCCCAAGTTTGATCCCCGGTACCAAAAAAAAATGTATAATTGATAATGTGAAATAGGAAGAAAAGGTCTAAAGGACTAGGGGAAGTGGGAGGGGTACGGGAAAGGAAAGAAGGGAAAAGAAAAAATATGAGAAAAGGAAAAACATGGAAACAGTCTTTGTAAATAGGGAAGTGTGGAGGGGGTGAAGGGAGGGCAGGGAATGGGGAAAAAATAAGAACCAAGATGCATCATGAAAGGTACAAGATCCCAGTGATGAATGTAGCTGTATTGTACACCTCAAATGGACCAATAAACTTAATGAAAAAAAACACAGGCAAAGCCTGTGCTGTGGTCTGGGTGTGTTCCCCAGTGAGCCCTGTGTGGGACGCTTGGTCCTCCACAGGTGGGCCTAGGGGAGTCCTGAGGTTGAGCGGTCATGCCCTTGAAAGGGGATATGGGACCCCAGCTGTGCTCTGGCCTCCCATCTGGTGATGTGATCCCTGCCGTTGCCTCTGCCCTGAAGTCCTCACGAGAGCCAAGGTGACGTTGGTGTCGTGCTGCTGAACCTCCAAACAAGGAGCTCATAAATCTCTTTTCCTTATAAAACACCCAGCCCAGTCGTAAAAACTGACTACAATAGCCGGCTTTCAGATTAGGTTTCTCCTCCCCACTGAGACACCACGAAGCCGAAGCCGCCTCCTCCAGCCGGGTGTGAGGCATGCAGTCCCCATTTACTATTTTCCACACCCACCATGTGTGCTCGGTGCCCAACCCAAAGAACCACAGAGCGGTGAGAGCCCAGCTGCCACGCTTTACTCTGGCTTTCCTCCACGTTCATATTAAATATCTGAAATATATTAATCTTAGAAAACAATATTAACACAGTGCTCAGTGAACACAGGGTCTGGAGTGAACAGCAAGCCCAGACTGCAGAGCCCTGGGTTGTGTAAAGCCTTGAGCACGGGAGGTCAAGACTAGGCCCTCCACACGAGGGCAGGGAAGCCAAAGAGACAGCTTGGCCCCAGTGCCCCGCTCAGGTTCCCGGCAAGGTCCCACGGGCTTCGGGGGCCACCGCTGACGGCTCTTGGAGTGGCACTCAGTCTCCGAGCAGATGTTCGGGCTTGGGGTAGCCAAAGAGAACAAAGTCCGCCTCGTAGAGTTTGTAGAGCTGCCGCCGCCAGGCCAGGGGGATCTTGGCGAACCAGTCCTCCTCCCAGCTGCTGGCAGTTCTGTTCCGGTAGCTCGGGGGGAAGTGGACCTGAGCGTCCACCTTGAGCAGCTGCAGCAGCTGGGCGGCGTCCTCGTCCAGCGTCTCCAGCTTCCCCACAAAGTCGTAGTCGATCTGGCACGGGTGGCAGAGGCGGTACACCTGCCGCCAGTGCTCGTTGAAGGGCGCCAGCTTCTCAGTGTGGGGGTCCAGCAGATACTGGATGAAGTTGGCGAAGGTGACCTTGAGGCCGGCGCTGAAGGCCTCGCTCACCGAGGTGGGCAGGCTGGTGAGGTTGGCATACAGCCGCAGCATAGGCGCCGCGAACTTGCGGTAAAACTCCTCGTTCTCCAGCTCAAACTTGCTGCGGAAGGCCGAGATGAGCCGCACGAAGGGGTCGCGCACGAAGAGGAACTTGGTGTACTTCTTCAGCTTGATCTTCATGAGGTGCCTGGAGAACCTGCCGTAGCGGCGCCAGAACTTGTTGAAGGTCAGGTGCGTGCTGCTGTTGTGCACGCGCTCCCGCGGGATGTCCAGCGGGTCTCGGTAGGGGGCGCCGCGGTCCAGCAGGCTCTCGCTCAGCACGATCATCACGCGCTTCCAGTTGGTGCAGGCCACCTTGGGCACGTAGCAGTAGATGACGCCGTGGCGGTCGTCCACGATGAGGTGGTTCAGCTCGTAGTTGGGGATGTCGTCGAAGGAGCGCTCTTTGGTGGGGAAGGCCAGGCTGGAGTTGGCGCAGAAGTGGCGCAGCATGCGTCTGCGCTCGGCCTGCTGCCGGCCTGCGTCGGGGCGCTGCTGGGCGTTCTGGGGGGACCAGTCGTAGCCCCTCACGCTCTCCTCCATGCGGCTCAGTGCAGGCTTGCTGGAGGCCAGCACCAGGGGTTGCTCGGTCTTTTTCTTGGAAAGGTCACTTTGCTTTGCACCAGAACTAAGCAACTTATCTAGAAATTCGTCCACATCGGAGGTGAACTCCGTGTCCTCCCCCTGCCCGGTGGTGGGGAGGGGCGCCAGGGCGTGAGGTCTGGACAAGGAGGTGTGCAGGTAGAAGTGGGCAGTGCCCACGTTGTCCCAGTACACGATGATGAGCAGGACCATGAGGACAGAGCCCAGGGCCAGCCACAGCCGGAAGAGCCGGGGCTTGGTCATGCTGTCCGGCCCGGGCTGGGCCCGTGCCTGGACCCTCTCACTTCAGCTTCAAGAGAGCCAGGGCATCGCTCTGAGGCCAACCTGGAGGGACAATGACACCGCATTAGCGACAGCCCCCTCACGGTTCCTCTCGCTCCCACCCTTCTTGCTTCCCTGACTCTGCTTTGTGGGACCTCATCAGCCCTCCACCTCCTCCATGTGAGGTGACTGCTGCCGCTCAGAATGATAAGCACCGGAGTGTGAGCAACGACACAAGCAGAGAGCCTGCATCACTGTGCCACACAGAGGAAGCTCGGACCGCAGGAAGCCACTCCCCATTGTCCAGAATGCGGAGGAGATGTAGTGAAAGAAAGTCACCAGGAGGCTCAAGCCAAAGTTCAGGAAAATGCTAAAGACGCCCTTCCCCCAATGCCCTTCACTGTGCACACCTGTCGGACAGCCCCTGCTGGCTTCCTGCAAGGGGAAGCACAGTTCCCTGACGGCAGAGCAACCTGCTTCCTGCTGGATGTGCCGCTTGATGTGGAAGGGGCAGAGTACCCGGTTAGCAAAACCCGGAGCACAGTCAGTGGGGAAGCAGGTGGTGGAGGTGTGTGACACATTCTGGGCTCCAGAGCACCATAGCCACCCCATGAATGGAGCTGGGAACCTGCCAGCCCCTGCAGGACTATATGACACTGCCTTGGTACGATAGTCAGAGCACCTCCTGTTCCCCTGGGAGGTTCCTTTTGCACTCTTCATAGCTGACTCTGTGGGTGGCCTTTGTAAGCCAATCTTGTAAATTCTTATTTATTTCTGTATCTTGTATTAAACCTGTTTCTCTAATAAGCGCCGATACAGATTTTCATACTGGGAATGGCTCTAGAGAAACAGAACTGTAAAGATAAAATTCTTTAATGGCTTTAGTGGTTCCTGGAGTTGGTTAATTTGGTGAGACCTAGAGATACCGTGGTCTCTCCTTCTGATATGTGGGAAATACGGACAGTCCTTGGTATGAATTGTTTAAATACCCAATGTAGATCCATTTGATTATCGTAATTCACCACTTGTGAGATGTAAGGAATTTAGCGACTCCAAATATGATACTTTTGAATATTTTTGGCAGAGTGGGAAATATAGTGATGCTGGCTGGTTGCTGTTAACATCTCTGGAGAAACTAGTGAAGGAAAACAATGATCTCAAAACATCCATAGGAAATCTAGTCTTCTGTGAAGAAAAATTAATAAAGGAAAATAAGGAGCTCAGATTCAAATTCCCAGCTCCAGACACATATAAACATTTAAAAGTGTCTGAAAGAGAATCTCCTCTCCTTTAGCTGCAGGGCCGAGATTGCAGAAAGCCACACACAAGCCCTCATAATTGGACTGGCTGAAATACAGCGTAAGTTTAATGCTCAGCCTCGAAGGGGATGTGAAGTAAAGGTGAGGGCACTGATCGGAAAAGAATGGGATCCAGTAAACTGGGATGGAGACGTTTGGGAGGACCCTGGGAGGCTGCGGATGTTGAGCTCCTAGGCTCTAATGAGATTATTTTGCCCCAGGAAGAGATTTCCCCACCCACAGTGGCAGAGGCACCCCCACGCCCACCCCCTGTGGTGTTGGCCTCTCCTACTGCACCTGAGGAAACTGCCGTAAAGATAAGCTAATGGGCTATATATTGTTTCAGTTCTGTGTATTTGCTTATAAGCATGGGGTCATTATTTTAATGTTGATTATATACATCATGTTTTATGTAGTACAACACATGTATGGTATTTGTTACATTGGTAATGGGGCAATGGATTAATGTACAAAGTACATAAGGTAAAGAACAGTATGATTAAGTTTGTAAAATGGTATAATATATGACTGCAATGTTGGCGAAGGAATAGTTAGAATTACAGTTTTGGGTGCTGGTGATGAACTGTAAGCTTCTTGCTTAATTTTGATGTCCTAGGGCAGTGGTGGCAAACCTATGGCACACATGCCACAACAGGCTGTTTGTATCACTGAAAGCTCTACAAGGTTTGCCATCACTGTCCTAGGGAAGTGAATTCTCCACTTTTGGTTTACAAGGCAAGAGTAGTACTTATATGACAAAGAGTCATCATTTTAGTACTTTATTTTCTAGTACGCTCATTAATGGTATAAAGGTTAAAATAACAGGAAAATGTAAGATTGTTGCTAGTTGATCAATAATAGTGAGTATTGTACTGGCTGGTCTTCAATCCACGTGAATGCAAGTAAATTTCTTATTAGAATTCAGATAGGCATTGATTCAAAGGACAAAGTATTATGCTTCATCATTTTGATGAGTAAAGGGTAGGAATGATAGCTAACATTAGGATAAAAAATATTAATCTTTGTACCCCTCCAAGTTTTGGGGGATGGAACATAGAATTACACATGCAAATATATGGAGGAGTGTTAAGCAGGTATGCAAGTATGTAATTACCTGGGTGTCTCCATAAGTTTGGAGAGAATAAAATTAAAATTAGTAAAGTTAGAGAGCGGGACGTCTGGCTTCTGAGGTGGAACTTTCTCTGTGGTAACGACGAAAGAGCGCTGAGCCTCGGATGCGGAAGCTGCAGCAGATTTCAAAATGGGTGACACTGAGAAAGGCAAGAAGATTTTTGGTCAGAAGTGTGCCCAGTGCCACACTGTGGAGAAGGGAGGCAAGCACAAGACGGGCCCAAATCTCCATGGTCTGTTTGGGCCGAAGACAGGTCAAGCTGCCGGATTCTCCTACACAGACGCCAACAAGAACAAAGGCATCACCGGGGGAGAGGATACATTGATGGAGTACTTGGAGAATCCCAAGAAGTACAACCCTGGAACAAAAATGATCTTCACTGGCATTAAGAAGGGAGAAAGGGCAGAATTAATAGCTTACCTCAAAGAAGCTACTGATGAGTAATAGTCACTGCCTTATTTATTACAGAACAGAAACGTCTCATGGCTTTTTTATGTGTACCATAATTTAATAGATCTCATACACCAGAATTCAGATCATGAGTGGCTGACAGAATATTTTTTGTTGGACAGTCCTGATTTAAGTAAAATTGGCTTATAGTTAAATGGATATCTTTTTTTTCAAGCTTTGATATTAATTCCAGTTCAGTAAATACTATCACTGTTTTCCCTTTCTAAAAATATGGTTGGACTTGATTAGTAATGTTCGACTTCTCACAAAGATGGAGAATGTTATCTCAAAACCTAGTGGAGGTTGGTTTTATATTTAGATTTCTACATATAACTGGTTGTGTGAATATGTTTAAATACCAGGGAAATCCTTCACTGTCTCACAACCAAGCAAGACTCCTGTTTCAATTTGTTTATTAGCTTGTTAAAGACAGTGGTTGAAGACCAGGAAGGAACATCTATATTTTTTATCTTGACTATGCCAATTTAATTAGAATTCCCTGTATCTAAAGACTGATGCCTTTTACTTACTGAAAGGCATTTTAGTTTGGTGTATGTATAATACTAAATAAAGGATATTTAACACTTCTCACCTTTTATAGTTGATCTATAAGTTCAGATCCTTTTAAAAGCATGACACAATAGTAAGTTAGATTTTATTTTTGAATTCTTTACTTTGCACTAAGTTATTATTCAGGATAGTATTTAAACAGCTATTTAAAAACACAAGATTGAAAGGACTGTTTTTTGTGTGATTGGCAGTGGTGCTTTTTGTCAGCTCTTTAGAAGGATTAAAGTGGGGAAGGTACAACATCAGCACAAATTTTTATGTGACCATAATACTTAATTAAAAACAAAATCAGATTGAAAAAAAATATTAGTGAAGTTAACAATGAATAGAACACCTAAAATATCTTTAAGTATATATGGATAAAACAGAACTTTATCTGAGTTGATGGCTAAAGTATTATTATTGAGTTTCATGAAGGAATAAATGAATTATTACTAAATGTGGGATAATAAGTGATAAAATGAAAAGCTAATTAATTAATTAGATCAGCATAGTTCTGGGTGTGGCTGAAAGGATTTACTGAAGATAGAAGAGCTACCCTGGTGTGAGTGACAGCAACCAATAGGCTTGCTGCCTGAATGGAATAAAAAGGAAACAAAGACAGAAGGCTTGCTACCGTTTCTTCAGAAGAGCTCAGTCTTCACCTTCACCTTGGACAGTGTTTCCTGGCTTCCAGTGTAGACCCTTCAGCCTCCTGAGGCGGACTTTCAAGGAACACTACAGTGAGCTTCAGGCCTTCGACTGGACCCTTTGGATCTCCAGAGCATACACAGACCTTTTGCATATCCGACTTCTTCCATATCTGACTCTGTGGGTGGCCACTGTAAGCCAATCTTGTAAATTCTTATATATTTGTATATCTTGTATTAAATGTGTTTCTCTAGTATGGACTGACTGATACGGCAACCACAAAAATTAGGTGTTACAAAAGAAACAATAAACAAATTGACTTCAGGAAATTAAAAGCTTTTTGTTAGACAAGCTACATCAACAGAGTAAAAAAGCTCAGAATGGGAGAAATATTTGCAGACCACGTGTTTGACCTGAAATTGATATCCAGAAACCATAAAGAACTCCTAAAAGTAAAAAATAAACAACTTGATTTTAAAATGGGCAAAGGAGGCCGGGGATTTAGCTCAGTGATTCCGCCACCTGCCCTGCAAGCGCAAGGACCCAAGTTCAATCGATCCCCAGTACCCAAAATATAAACAAATAAATAAATAAAATGGGCAAAGGAGTTGAATACACATTTCTTTGAAGACAATATACAAATCTCCGATAAATACGGTACTTGAAAAGGAGCTCAAAATCACTGATCATCAGGGAAATGCAAATCAAAACTCTAATGAGAAACTACCTCACTCCCACTAGGGTCACAATGATCAAAAAACTTGAAAAACCCAGGTGTGGTAGTGCACGCGTGTAATCCCAACACTCGAGAGGTTGAGGCAGAGGAGGACTGCTGCAAGTTCAAGGCCAGCCTGGGCTACATAGTGAGTTCAAGGCCAGCCTGGATTATATGAGACCCTGTCTCAACAAACACACAAACAAAACAAAACACCTAAAAATAACATGGCGAAAGTGGAACCCTTATGTACTGCTGGTGGGAAAGTGAAATGATCCAATCCTATGGAAAACAGGCTGTGAGTTCCTCAAACAGCTGAACATAGAGCCGGGGATTTAGCTCAGTGGTTTTGCCACCTGCTGCACAAGTGCAAGGACCCGAGTTCGATCCCCGGT